AATCAACGTAAATAAAGAAATTTGAGAAAAAATTTTCTAGCTATAAATAAATAAAAAGTTTGAAAATTTTCAGCATTTTCTTATATCAATTTTTTTTTTTTTTGAAATTTGAACCAATGGAAAGTCAACTCGTTTCCTCCTTCGTTTTAAAAGTTAAAATTTAGGTTGATTATAGGTGAATGAACACTGCTTCCAACCAATTGCATAAGAATCTAATTCTCAAAATTGAAACCACAACAGCGTCTTCGTCAAAAATCAATACTACAGTGACCTCTACTATTACTAAAGCTAGTTATCTGTTACTTTAAAGATGCAAGGTGTGCAAGTAAATAAGTTCATTTGCATAGACGAATTTAGGATGCGGCATTTTGAGGAGCGGGAAAGGGCGTAAGATTGTATGATTTTTAATCTGGGAGCCATTTCGTAGGATTTATTTAAAATTATATGCATCGTTAGAGGGTTTTGAAAATTTTAAAACTTTTGGGTTTATAATGTAAAATGTTAAACCTTATTAAAATGACTACTAAACTTAAAGGATCATTTTGAACTTTAGTTCAATTATAGCTCTCATCTGCATTCTGTGGTTGCGTCTAAGGATCAGAACGTCTTAATAAATACTTACTAAAAAAAGCTCAATCTGGACAATGTGGTGAACAAAAGTAAAATATTACATATCAGTTAATATAGCTTTCAAATATAGATAGTCATTTTATACCCTACTAACGCCTATTAATTTTTTTTAAAAAAAATTAACGCACATGGACCCGATTGCACCTACTTTATAATTATGGACCAAAGTATTTTTGTGACAAATGTAAGGACCAAAAAATATAAATAAAAAAACCAAATTGTAAAACAATATTAATTTTAAGGACTGAAATAACTTATTTTTGCTAATTATAGAGACTAAATTGAAATATTTTGATAAAATTATTTTTAAAGGATATGAGATAGATATCAATAGGGATGATAAAATGAATAGATATGAATTTAAAAGATAATTTCTTAATAGATATAATATAATATATATTTTTTTAATGTGTATGGTAAAATATTAAATTAATGGCTCGAATACATGGCTCATTATGATTCCTAATTGCACCCATAAATATATAATCTATATATCTTTTAAAAAATCAATGATGAGATTTTAATATGAAGCCTTAGGGTAATCATTCGATTTTTTAGTTTGATTTTTAACAATTTTTGTTTGATTTTTAGTTAATTTAACCTATAAAAACAAAAACCAAACTCAAACTACTATTTGTTTTTTTTTTTGGTTTAAACATTAAAATTTTAATTTTGGTTTTTTTAATTTAAACTAATTTCTAATTGTTTTTTTATGTAAACAGATCAAAAACATTATCAATCCATCATATATCAATAATAATATTAAAATATGAATGTTTTGATTTATTTATATTATTTGAAAACTTAAAAAAATATATTTTCAGTTTGAACCAAATAAAAAAATTTTAAAACCGAATCCAAAAAAAAGAATATGATTCTTTTTTTTTTTTTGTAATTTCAGTTTGAATTGATTCGTTTTTTCAATTTAAACTAAATATTACTCACCCTTATGAACCCTCTTCTTTAATTAAGATGTTCTCTCTCTCTGTACATATATATATATATAACTAAGTCATTAAGATATTAGGAATAAGAGATTCACAAAAAAAATTTAGCCATTGCAACTTACTAGGTTAGCACACCTGTCTCGATTTTTCTTTTTTCTTTTTTTATTTCTCGCAACTATTGGGATTTATTTATTTATTTTTTTAATATCGAGCACAGCATATAAGCTGATAAGGTCACTACTTAAAGTACATGAAAGAAATTTTGGGGCTAAATTGAAAAAAAAAAAACAAAAGTCAAGCTACATATTGATTGGAGATGCGGGGCATCGAACCCCGTGCCTCTCGCATGCAAAGCGAGCGCTCTACCATTTGAGCTACATCCCCAATACGTTATTCTACGTTTGATAAGATAAATTTCATAAATAAACACGAGTGACATCACCAACTCAACTAAGTAAGATGATGATAGGTTGGTATGAAACTACACTACGACAGTCTCAGAAATTGCTCGACTGCGAGTAGGAATGGCAATGCAACGGGCCATCCCCGCCCCACTTCGCTGCTGAAAAACTCTATCCCGCCCGAGGCATGAGACCGGGACGGGACAGGGATGGAATTTTTGAGAAGTATCGATATTCTGTCTAATTTTATATATTTATCATATTTTCTTATATCTCATTTTATTTTGTATTAAATTTTAAACTATAACGAAAAGATAATAATTTATATAACAAATACAATTAAGAAAAATAATAATTTAACATTATATTCAACTACAAGTTTACAATACAAATTATAATATATTAAATTATTTTCAATTGAATAAATAATATACTTAATTAAGTTAACGAAGTATCACAAATGTAATTAAAAAATACAAATTCTTGCATGTCTTTATTGCTTAGAGATTATCAAGACTCATTTATTATATTGGAAACTAATTCGTAGCCTCATATTTTATATATCTATTGGGTACAATTGTAATTTTTAAAGATAAGAGTATTGTGAGGTGAGACGAGTAAATACTATCCCAGTCCCATTTTTGTTAAAAATTACTACGAGTGGGGCACCCCATTTCGTTCCGTAGTTAACTCAAAGAATCCCTATGGTGATTGAGACGGGGAAGGGCAGGGCCTCGTTGAGGAGAGGCAAATTACCACCCCAAACTACGAGTACCATTTTTATTTGAAAAAACTATCTAACAAGCATATTAATTTTTAATTTTTAATTTTCATATAATAATTTTTTCAAAAATATCAATTAAATTTTTTCGTTTAATCTTTTGTCCAATATTTATGTGACGGTTAAAAAAAAAAGACTATTGCTTTGCTATCTTTTTTTTTTTTTAACTAAGCTATTTTGCTTTTTTCTATTCTTATAAAAATAAAAGAAGTGAACATTTCACTATTCACTTACCGTAGCGTCAGACTCAGTTGCACTGTGGATGGTTTTTTTGTGATTTTTTGGATTTTGGTGAGTGAAAGTTATGTAACTTTTTACATTTTAGTCTCCGATATTTTCAAACGAATATTTTGATCCACATATTCATTTGCTCATCCATTTTGATCCTTGGGTGAAGAGAAAAAGGTGGGAGGAAGAGAGAGACTGGAGGAGAGAGAGATCATCGGCCAAGCTTATTTAGACCACTTTGCCTTATGAAAATCTATTATATTTTTTTATCTTTGAGAGATGAGTTTGTCTATGATGGTTTTAAGCCATTAAACAATTAGATAAGGTAGATCGGAGCCAAAAAAGGAAAAAAGGTTTTGATTTGATTATGCATCTTTTTTTTGTATATATTAAAATAATTTTTATGCTTTTAGATGTGTTTATTGGCTTTATTCCAATCATTTAAAGGTGTTTGGAGAAAAAAATGATGCTAAAATTTAATTTCTAAGAATTTAAAACTTAAGTTCTGATTTTCCAACAAAGCTTTTGACGACCTTGAGTTTGTCGAAAGTTGCAGATGATGTTTTTTTTAGTACAGAAGCAGCCCAGGCCTGGCACGCCAGCCTGCAATCATAGGCCCAAGCGCACTGTGCCAGCCAGGCGTGGCCTTTTTCCTTCTTTTTTTTTTCGTTTTTGTTTCTTTCTACGTATATATACATATCCAGGCGCCTGGCATTTTTTAGCTTACACGCACACACACATCTGTCCTTGCAGGCGCGTTTTGTTCCTTTTTCTTTTCTCTTCTTTATATATATATATATATATATATATATATATATATATCATGAAATTAAGTGTAAAAAATATAAAAAATTAATTGTTATTTTTTTAATTTTATATATAGTTTAAAAATGATAGAATATATATATATATATATATATATGATTATATTACTCTTATTGTTTAAATTTATTTTTTTAATTATTTGTTTTTTATTAAAATTCTTATCAAATTAATTTTTTAATATAATTTTATTTATTAATAAAATAAATGAATTTTGGAATACATTTTTGAACATCAGTGTTTTATTATTTTAAAATATATTATTATAATTTATAAATTCTAATATATTTATATATATATATATATTTTATTTAGAATTTATTGAAACCAATTTTACTGTAATTTTTATTTTAATATGTTGAATTCAATATATTTTATATAATTTAAGTGTTTTTTTATATTTATTCTATATACTTTGAATTTTTTAAGTATGATGTATGTATTTATGTGTGTGTATCATTAATTTTGTTAGAAATTAACTATACATCTGCACGGATAATACTAATTATTTATTATTTATTTTTTTATATTTTAAAATTTATTTTTTAAATAAAATAAGTTCGATAATATTTCGAAAGAGCCTCCCAATTATTTAAATTCAAATTTTTATGCTAATAGTATTAAATATTTTGTTAATAAATATATATAAATCAAATGATTTCGCTCAATGTATAAATTCGATTTACATTAATCATAAAAAATAAAGCTTATACTCACACTATAATTTCAATTCACGCTATATTATATGAATCGTTAATTTTATATGTGCAATGGTTGTTTTATCGCATAATACGAATATCTAACTAGTTAATAACTAAATAATTTGAGAGAAAAAAAGAAAAAAAAGTAATTTATTCATTTAATCTTTTAGGTTAACTGTCACGAAAAAATGAAAGGAAAACTTAATTGGTAGCTTTGAAAAAAATAATATATTAAAATAAAAAATAAAAATTAATTGATGTAATTATTTTGTAGTTTTTTCAGTCTTATTTTATTGATTTCTGCTGCTGTATGTATAAACCAAACTAACAAGAGGAAAAGGAGACGCTCTCTCTCCTCTCCTCTTTCCGCTCCTCCATACTAATAAAAAAACCCCTTACCTCAAAAATAGAAAAAAGAACCTAAAACCTCCACTGTTCTGATTTCGCTCCCTCTCTCTTTCTCTACAAAAATAAAAATAAATATAGGGAGATGGATTTTCAAGTTGTAGTCCTTGCTGGTGGCACTTCTAAAAAATTACTTCCTCTCGTCTCCAAGGTTTGTTTCCTAATCCAGTCACTTTCTTCTTCACTTTCTGTTTGTTTCTTGAAAATAAATTTAGAAAACCGCTAATTGCTCTCTCGACTAAGATTTATTTTATTTCAGTCCTCCCTGCTTATTTTTGTTTTTTGAATGCAGGAAGTGCCAAAAGCTTTGCTTCCGGTGGCGAACCGGCCGGTTCTTTCTTACGTGTTGGAGCAATTGGAAGTCAGTAATCTTAAGGATCTTATTGTGGTATACTTCTCTTTATTTTTATTAATAAATATATTTTTTTATGTTTTGTTTGTGATTCCTTATTATCTTTCTGCGTGTTCTGTTTTGCTTTCTCTAGCTGTGGAAGAAAAAGGCAAAAAGAGAGGAAAACTGAACTTGATAAGGCTGCTTCTGTTTTGGAATATTCATTCATAATTTTGAATCCAAAAAGAATTATTAAAGTTTAATTCCATTGTTAAGATTCTGAAGTGAATTAATAGCAAATGTGTAATAGTGTTGGTTTTTTTTAGTTGCCTTTGGGGTTTAGGGTTTCTTTCTAATGGCTGTTTTTAATATTATTTGTGTTGCTGTATAGGTTGTTGAAGGGGAAGATGCAGCTTTTCATGTTGGTGGTTGGATATCAAATGCCTACGTTGATCGTTTACATGTAGAGGTACTTTTTTTGTAAAATATATATATATATATATATATATATATATATATATATATATATATATATATATATATATATATTCTCCAATGCAATAAAAATCACTGTATTTTGTTGATCAAATTTAAAGGCGTTCAGTGCTTGATGGTATGGAGGATAGTGTTTTTTTAAGTCACTGAAATAATCCATTAGAAATTGGTGAGGAATGTTGCTTGGAAATATTGGGTTAAAAAATTGAGAGATGAGGCTTCACTTTGGGCAAACTTTTAACCGAACCAACAAAACTCTCTGGTTAAGAAGTTGGTTAGGAATACTGTGGAAGGGTTTCGGGCACCTTTCTAGTTGTGCTTCTATATCAACTATAATTACTGATTTAAGTGATCCATGTGACATGGACTTACGGATCAGTTGCTGCTTGGGTGTGTATCTTAGTGTTGGACAATGTTTAGAAGAGTTTTCCTCATTGCTGACTTTTCAGCATCTGGCTGCTATTCCTCTAGACTTGTCCGAAACAGGGACTTGAAGGTTGAGTCAGGGTCAGAGGAATATCAAGAAGAAAAAGAGTATCACTACAATCCCTTCTCACTTGTCTGTTGTTCTCTTCTTTGCATATTCTGAAGCAAGGCTGACTGGCTAAGTTTCAGGAACTTTCTATCCAATTGATGAAAAAAGTAGGAAATGAATAACACAAAGTATTTGCAGAGTTTTGAACTCAATACTGAAGAATGTTAGGTGATGAACAATGGATTATTGCGGTGCTTGGTTTTTTGAGTGTTGAGGGGAAAAAAATCTCCATAAACTTCCTAAGATTTAGTCTAATGGAATTGTTTTCCTCAATGATTAAAGTTCATGGCAAAGTAACATGCCATTAAATTTCTAAAAAGCCTACTTTTTTAACCTAACACGTTTCACTTACTAACCTCCATATTTTTGTGACTGCTGGTTTCCTTTCTCATTCCTTACTGGTAGTGGTCGAGACATTTTCCTCTGTTCCACTTGCAGTTAGTGCACACTGTGGCTAATTGATACATTCTCTTTAGTACTTTCTACTAATATAGTGGTCTAGAGGGGCTGCTTTTCAACATTTGTATGTAGATCCAATGGCATTTCCCATTCAGCTTTTGCCATCCTATCTTTAAGGTGTGTGGCATCTTCAAATGAAATGGGAAAAGCTGAAAGTCAAGCATCAGTGCAACTGCTATTGTAGTTATGATAACCTCGCCTTTTGTTTTTTTCATGCTGTTAAGTGTTATGATTTGTGAATATTCTGAATAACAACGAAATGGGAATAAAAGTTTTGTTGAAATTTGCTGTCTTAAAATCTGGTAACTTGGTTTGGAGAAACAAATGCCACTCAAAATTCTAATGTATGGGTTGAAACCTAGGTTTAATTACTGTGTCCTGATAGGATTGCTGTTAATGAATCTCTAATCACTATCAATAGTGGGAAGTGTGATTATTTAGGGTACTCAAGCTTATGATAATTAATAATAAGAGTAGAAGATGCTATCCTAGGACTAAGTAATGCATTATGGTAGTTGTAGCACAAGCACATCTTTTATTGTATGACTTTCTACTGGTAAATGACTGATGTTGGTGCATGAAATTATCTTGGAATTTACATTTTTTTTGTTCCTAGTGTCTGAAACCATAAAATAGTAGAGATCAGTAGTCAACATTTTCTTGGAAATGCTCACCACCTTTTTTAAGCATACAAGGGCATGCCGATTGAGATGGAATGAAAGTTACTGCTACTTTGCTTCTTTGTTAAATTGAAAGCAAACACAGTGGTCCTGGACCAGGTTCAAATTGGTTCAGAACTTGCTGTTTTGTTAGTCTTTTGGCTTCTTGCTGGAAGCCATATAGTTCTACTATCATTCCTTTGTCTCAATATTATTTATTGTAAGCGGTTCATATTATTCTCCAAAAATATGTTGAGTTACTTAATTTTTTTGCAATTCTACAAATGGAGCTGGCATCATGTGCTCTTTGCTGCTGGCACATTGCATTTTGTGAGCATCATTGCATCCTAGCATTGTTATATATCAGGATTGTTATCAACTGCATGGTACTCTACTCCTTGTCTTTCGTTTTTTATCAATGAAAGTAGAATTTATAGGTGCTGTAAAATGCTGCAGGTTGCTGTAGTTCCTGAGGATGTTGGAACTGCTGGTGCTCTTCGGGCCATTGCTCACCACTTGACTGCAAATGACATTTTGGTTAGCATTCAAATCCTCTGTGGTTTTTTATTTCTAAGCCTCCAACTATTTACAACCATTTATGCTTCACCTTCCTGCAGGTTGTGAGTGGTGATCTTGTTTCTGATGTTCCTCCTGGTGCACTTGCAGCTGCTCATAGACAGCATGATGCAGTGGTGACTACAATGCTTTGCTCTGCTCCTGTCAGTGGACCTACAGAGTCAGGATCTTCAGGTGGAAAAGATAAAATCAAGAAACCAAGACGCTACAACGTAATCGGGTTGGACCCCTCAAAGCAGTTTTTATTACACATAGCAACAGGTTAGATGTTTGAATTTTGTATTATTCAGAGCTCCACTTATCCGCTCATAATGCCCATGCTGGAACTCTTTGCAGGAGCTGAAATTGAGAAAGATATTCGAATCCAGAAGAGCATTCTTCGTGCAGTAGGTCAGGTAATATACCCTATCTTATTAACATCTTCCAGTTCTTGTTTAGTGTTTTTGTGCTTTTCAGAACAGATTGAAATCCCAAAATGTGTACTTTTATGATTTTCATATTTCTATTACCTAGTTGTATTTGATAATTTTTTTTATGGAACTGTAGTTCTTACTCTACTCTTCTTTTCTATCACTTCATTAGATGGAAATACGAGCTGATCTCATGGATGCTCATATGTATGCATTCAAGAGGTTGGTCGTTTTCTAACTTGGTGATTTTTCCCTGTTGTTTTTCATGTCTGGTATCCTCTATCCTCACTATCCTTGTGTATCTCTTGTAGGACTGTTTTGCAAGAAGTTTTGGATGAAAAGGATAGATGTCAAAGCTTACAAGAGGACGTGCTGCCTTATCTTGTCCAGAGTCAGCTGGTTAGTCAAACAAAATTCCTGGTAAAATTGGTTTCTTTTTGGCTTGCATGTTGATATAAAAAACTTAAATCGGTTCAAATATCTCCATTTATGCTAGAAATCAGAGGTATTACTTAATGGTGTACTACAAGCAGAAGAAAATAGAAATGAGAAGATTAGTTCCCAAACCAACCAAGCGGTGGTATCTCGAATATTGGCTAATGCATCTACTCCGAGCTTCCATGAACTTTATGCCTCAGGAAACAGTGGTTCTACTCCTGTTCGAAGAATCCATAAATGCTGTGTTTATATTGCCAGCGAGAGCAGATACTGTCAACGCTTAAATTCTATTCAAGCATTCAGTGATATAAATCGAGATGTGAGTTTATGCTGCTGATGTTCTTGTTGGATATTATATATTTTCACTTCTACTTTTGCAGTTTTCAAAGTCATTTTCAATCTGTGAAATGTCAGGTCGTAGGTGATGCCAGTCATCTGTCAGGCTATTCCTTCTCTGCTCATAACAACATCATCCATCCTTCTGCACAGCTTGGATCAAGAACTACTGTTAGTCCAGTATACTTAAAAAATACAAACTTCTAAAATCACTTATTTAGTTTCAGTAATAATTTTCTTGAGCATTTTACATATGTTTGTGTACTTAAAAGTTAATTTGATGGGTTTAGGTGGGGCCTCATTGTATGCTATGGGAAGGTTCACAGATGGGTGACAAGTGTAGTGTCAAGCGATCTGTTATTGGCCGTCACTGCCGGATAGGTTCCAATGTGAAGGTATGAAGATTTTTAATCATAAAGTTAAAATGGAAATAGGATATAACATAACAAAAGCTAGAATGAACCTATGAGGTTGATTGCTTCGCCTATCATATATGCGTTTCCTTAATTTTTATATATTCACTTAGAAAATGACGTATTTTAACTTTGATGATGTGATTTTTCAAGTCATTGAATCTAATTTTTTTGTAACTGCAGGTTGTTAATTCAGTTGTCATGAACCATGTTACTATTGGAGATGGTTGTTCAATCCAAGGTTCTGTAATCTGTAGCAATGCACAGCTCCAAGAGCGAGCTGTGTTGAAAGATTGCCAGGTCATCTCACCCTCCCTCCTTCCCTCGTCTATCTCTCTCAGGCATACATGCACAGCACAGTTTCATGTGTATTCTATGTAGTCATTTTGCAATGTCTTCTTTCCAGGTTGGAGCAGGATTTGTGGTTACTGCAGGCAGCGAGCACAAAGGAGAGTCTTTGGCTAGAAAATAGAAGTAAATAAGGAAAACCATTGCTCGAAAGGGTGCCATTTCCAAGGAGTCATCTGAATCGTGTAGCATGCTAATCGTCGGTCAAGAGGAAAAATTTTGCTGACTGCTGCCATCATGTAGCAGGTCATACCTCTGGCAAGTAAAGAGAGATGCCAATCTTAACGAGTCTAATATTTCTTTCCAGTCGTTTGTTTGTGCTTACAGTTTTCTTTTTATATTGTTGTGTTGCTTGTTTCTGATAGAATCCATCCCATATATTTTTAATGACTCAGGAAACTAGGTTAGCACCAATTTTTTCATATCCTTTTAAAAGAAGTTCAAAGTTCTTAGCTGCTGGATTGCAAGCCTTATCATTTTCAATCAATTTTGGCTGTATCCATTAAAGTTATTGTAGTGTAATTCTGTTTCTGCATGTGAAATGTTTGTTCTTCTGCATGTTAATTCTTTCAGCTTCCATTGTAGTTGTTATGGTATCATTACTTCAGGGCTAATGTAGACCGACAAGAACATTTGATTAGCCAAGCATTTGCATGTCCTACAGATACATGACTCGAGATGCTTGTGTTTGAGCTTATGAGTGCCATATTCTGTTTGATCCAGAAGCTTAACAAGGTGGGCTGGTCTAAGAATCTGCTTGTTGGGGATGTTTTAACAGAGCAGTTCTAAAAGTTAGCGTACAGATCATGTTATGAATGAAGTTATGTGGCTCTGGTTGAGAGAATTTTGTACTATTTTCATAATTGCTGCTGTGCTCTTGTGGAATTGTCAGAGCTTTAAGCTGTGAGTTGAAAAAGGAATGCCAAAATTTTGTATGCTCCATCAAATTGTTTTGTTAAAAGTTGTTGGTATCTCTGGGTTATACAAATAGAGGTGGGTACCGTACTGATTCAGTTTCAATTTCAGAGCCTATATAAACATGATCTGCTCTTGACGATTTGGAGAAATTGGTCATGGCAGAAAAGTTATCAGGCCTCTGCCATTTCAAGAGATGCTGTCTGTATTAAAATACACCTTCAAAGGGATGAGTGGAGGAAGGCTTTCTTTTACTAAGCTAAGATGCATTGATCCTACCTTGCATTTTATTCTCATTATTGTAGTTCTATCACATGCAGGGGACAGCTACTTTTCATTGAAATTCATCATGATATTTTTGCAAAATCATGAATCTTTTTCCCATCACGGGCCTTACCAAAGCAGCGTTTCATGTATCTGGAGAAGACAACTTGCTTGTACGTGGGTTTCTATCAGTTCTGCAAATGGACCTAAAATCCGATCCGCTCTTGGACTCGAAAAGATTGGAATCGAAAACCTGCTTCTGCTTTTGTTGGCTATCGCACGATGCTCAATCCCGTTTCACAAACCATTGCGCATTATCTGCAGTGCATATCTTCTCTTGATTATAAGAGCCCCCTTAATTGGTGCAACATGGATCTAACCATCGCCATCATCAGGGCCCACACCTGCTGCCAGTTCAGGTTCTGGGCACTTAGGGTAATAGGTGATGTTGATCCCAATTCTCCCCATTAGGAGATTTTCTTTCGTTTTGTCAATATCCTTAATGTTGAGTCCCTTCAACAGCACCTCTACCACCCCGCTACCCACCACCAACCTTAGCATGGAACTCTTCATGTATTCAAGAACTTGTGCCCTTCATAAAAACATCGCTAGTTAAGTTTACAGTCGGTCTCTTTCTGGGTTTTCCTGACTGTCGGAAAACTTAAAATGGGGTTTCTTTCATATCATCAGTTTTTAATGTTTTCAACTTAAAGAGGTTTAAATTACTTGCACGCAGTAGACAAATAAAATGTGACTTGCACATTGATAGATTCCGTCAGTTTTGATGTAAATTTTAATGATAGATTGGAGTAAGACTCTTATTTGTTTTTCTTTGTTGGAAAATGTTACATGTTCTCAGGCAAAGCGTGGGTAAGGGGAATAGTTTGTTATGGGTTACCTCCATTTACTACCCCGGTAGCATGCAAAGTCTTCGATCCTTCCAAGAAAATTTATATGACAGAATTATTATGGATCAGCCAGATGAAGAAATTTAAAAATGTTAAAGACTTGAAGAAGTTGTGAGGTTTTGAATAAAATGCTGTGGAGAGGTGAAAAAAAGTGAGGGTGCAGATTTGAGTGCTGAGGTATGAACACTAGCAAGCAATGGTTCATGCAGGAAGAGTGCGAGGGTTAGCCTGCAAGGTGTCCGTCCAGGGGAAGGTAATCAGGGTGAGCAGTCTAGAGGACTGGTGAATGAATTACTTTGATTTAGTTGCAAAGCTAACTCTATGTAATTTGTGTGGTCCCTTGAAAAGGATATGTATTTGGTAGTATTTAAGAAAGAAAATTGCTGATGTGCCTATAAGGTATGTGAATCGTTTGAGAACATCTTGGTTGAACATGAGGAAAAAACGAAGAGAGAAGGTCCCTGAAAGGAGAATAAAGATTTGATGGATATTCTTTTAAAAGTGTATCGTTATAAAAGATGTTTTCGGCTACAAAAAATAAGCATCGGATTTGGGGCCCAGAACGCAGGTTTTGATTACGGGGTTTCAGGGCCACTAAAGAACATGACCACGAGGAAACTGAGGAAACTAAGGCGTGTTTGTTCGAAAGAAAACAAGTTTTTTTATTTTTCTGTATTTATTTTGTATTTAGAAAAAAATTCAATAAAAAATAATTTTCAATTAATGAAAAATGATAGAGTATTTTTGAAAAAAAATTTCAGTTAAAAAAGAGAAAAATATTTTTCTTCTCACGAGTCTGTCTCGCTTTCGCGTTACTTACCTCTCTCTCGATGTATTTTAACAATTTTTTTCTTTATTTTCTTTTTATTTGAAATATATAAAATTAATTTTTAATTATTTCTTATCAATTATTATTAATTATTTAATTATTTATTTCCTATATTTCTACTAATATTTGATTTTCTGATTTATAGATATATTAAATATTCTTAAAAAGCATTTTTACACCTTAAAATTATTTTTATAATAAATATTTCAATAATTTATTTCTATTTTTTTACTATTATCTTAAACACCACCTAAACTATACTTAAATGATTGAAAATGATTATTCAATTTTTTGTAAAAAAAATTAAAATTAATTAATTCGTTAATAAATACATTATTTTCTCAACACTATTCATTTGCAACTAAATCAATAATTTGTGATCTTAATCTGTTGTAAAATTTTATGGGTAATTGTCGTGAATAATTGATTACAAATTATTGTAAAATTTTATTGGTAATTGTAATGAATAATTGGTTATAAATTATTCCAACATTAATCTTTTGAAACTAAATGAATAATTATCTACAAATGATAATTAATAATTTATAAAATTATTTTTTAAACTAAATTATCAGTTCAATCTAAAAAAAAAAAAATCTTAGTTGAGTTACCAAAATAATAATGCTAGGATTACTTAGATTTTTTTTTTTTTTTTTTTGCTAAATGTGAATATTGACTTGATTTTGTTCCAAGTAATTTTTAAAAATTGGTATGATGGTTAAAAGTATATTTTATTTTTTGAATTAAAATTTTAGAGTTAGTAGTTATGAAAATTTATTAAATTTTTCTAAATGTATTTTATACTGTGAAAATGTGAATATACATTTTTTAAGTTTTCTTAAAACTTGTTGATGTAACAATCACATATTGTTTTTGTATTTTAATTTTTTGCATCAAACAAACAATGGAATATGTTTTCTAGCAGTTTTTTTTATGTAATTGTCAAACGATAAAAAATATTTTTTAAAAAATAATTTCTTCAAAAATTAATTTTTTTATAAAAATTATTTTTCGCCAAACAAATAAAGCTTAAATGCAAATCTTCAGTTTTTTGTTTCAATTTGGGCGGGGAGGAGAATTCGCTCTGGCCCTAACATTGGTTTATGCTTCAACAATTGGACTCAAAAAAATTCCGTTCATTGTGAATTCTGCCCTTAAAATGATTTATATGAACATCAGATCACGTGTATGAAAATTTTGGAATTTTTTTTCCCCCTCTGAAAGCAATATCAGCATATCCTATGTATCCGAGGTGTCTTTTGGGAAGTATTTAATGCTTCTAATTAATCACAAATATTTTTTTTGTTTTTAATTTATTATAATCGCTTAGGATATTACCATGTAAAACAACATTTATTTAATATATTTAATAAATATCATTCATTTTTATTTAAATATCTGATTTGTTTTTTAAACGCAAATCAACTATAAATGTACTTCAATAGATGCATTAAAGATGTCTTAAAAACACTTGTTAACTTTCCCCAACATCATATATCAATTCAATGGCTTGAATTTTCCAAAGACAGTTACACTCTTTTCTTAATTGTCAATTAATTAGCAACTTTGATGACCCACAAGCAAAACAAAAGGAATAAACTAAACGTACCTTTGAAGCAATTCTGTAGTGATTAAATAGATTAGTTAACGTCTCATTGACCAGATCTCTCTTTATTTTAGTACTTTATGGGATTTTAAATTCATGCGATTCATTTGTTATTCAAGGATTGGTTTCATTGCAGTTTATTGACTATATTTATTGGGCAAATTATCATAAGTGGTCGACTAGAAATTTTCCTGGTTAACTTAAGAAAATAACCACATGCATACAGTATGCTTTGAAGTGTGCATCTGGGGTCCAATCAGCATGTTGATATGTATTTATATTAATTGCTACATCAATTTATATTTGATAAAACCTAACATGAGCACTTGATTATAAAATATTTAAATATTTGCATACTCAAAAATAAAATAAAAATAAAAAATTTTAAATAGAACAAATTTAAAAGTTAGCATGATAAATATATATAATAACTATTCTTTCCGAAGAAACCATGAAAAGGAAAGAAAAATGGAAGTCCCGAACAATAATTGGTGGTGAGGCTTTTCTGGTATATCTATATGGTCTCAAACTTAAACTGATGATTAATATACATATGATAAAAAATTGATTTGATTATAAAATAAAGTGAATATAAATGATAG